TCCCTGAATTAAATACTTCAGTCCCCGAGGGTTGAGTACACTGAGGAGAGGTGAATGGAGACGTGAATAAAGAATCATTTAGGACATTATCTTTGTCTTCAGCGATTGTGTCGGGAAGGTGAGCATCATAGAATGCTAATTTAATAGAAGAACGTATTCTTGCATTGAGGGAGTACTTGCTACTCATCTTTAAAGGCCTAACTCAAAGGCTATCAACTCTTCTAGGTCATTCTCTGTTAATATTTCAAATGTACTGTTATTTTTCCTGGGTTTAAATTTAAATTTCTCTACTGGTTAATCCCATTAGATTATAAATTATTTGAAGAGGAGGGTTTTATGCATCTGAATCACCTCCTTCTGACCTGATAGGAAGCAGGCATTCTTTAATTATTTGCTTATGATTAAATCAAATAAAATTAAGCCTCTGTTGCTGAGTGTAGGGAAGATAAAGTTGAAGCTATAGAACTTGAAGTCTTTGTGGACTAGACCTTTCTGGTTGAAGAACTAGAGGTTGCAATATGGACAAACAAAAATTCATTGAAAATCAAGTTTTCTTTTTCTAATGGGGAAATCTAAAGTTTAGTCTTACCTGGGAAAACAAAGACAGGAAGCTCACCTGTATTTAATAGAGGAAGTATGTTTTTCCATGTAACTTACTTCTACATCTACAATAAAGAAAAAGAAACAAAACAGGAAAGTCAAACAATGGAGCCCCCAAAATCTGAAATACTGAAATTCAAGCATTAATATCAACTCCCTCTCAGCTTCTGCAATCCCTTATACCAGACTCTAAACTTTTGCAAGAACAAAACAAATTAATTTTTCAGTTTCATTTTTTTCCGCTCTCATTTCCAAACTTTCTAGAAGAGCAGTGAAATGAGTGTGGGCAGGAGCCGTAAAAGAGGGACCTGTGGTGTCTCAAACATGAACTACATGGCATTAGAAAAGTTAGGTTCAATGAATGTACACATGCGCTTTACACAATTGATGTATGTATGTATGGTGATAAGAGTTGTATGAGCCCCTAATAAAATGGTTTAAAAAAAAAGAATTCTGTGAGGAGGAATAAACGAAACGGCAGGTAAAAGCATCTTGTCTCAGAAGTGTAGTGTACTTTCAATAGGTCACAAACAAGTGGTAGAAAATACGAGATACAATAGGGTATAAGGTGAAGTCTCCTCCCTCCCCTTATCTTCTATTCTCTCCATTCTCTCAGAAACCAGAACGTCTTGGCCTCCAGACTATGCTGTGCTTATATATGCATGCATGTGTAACCATGCAATTAAGTTGTCCTCCTTCACATGCAACTATTTAAAAATCCCTTATCTATAGGAATGCTGTAGTTCTGAGCATCTAGTGAGATGATGAGTCCTTTCTAGTTAACGTGCTACCTAAATGTAAGCAGTTATTAATCTTAAGAGAAGAAACAAGACATACTATGCTTTTAACTTTTATTAGCAACAGAGGACTCTTGCGTACTTGAGAGTCCAGTCAGCCCCAGGTTTAGCTTCTTCTTGCCTTTCCTTGTCTGGACATCAGTACAGAAGAGGGCTGAGAGCTAGGCTGCTTACCCCTGCCTTGGTCTGTCTTCCAGGTCATCACTTACTCCAGTCATCATGTCTACACCAACTTGACTGAGGAACAGAAGGGTCGAGTGGCCTTTGCTTCCAATTTCCTGGCAGGTGATGCCTCACTGCAGATCGAACCTCTGAAGCCCAGTGATGAGGGCCGGTACACCTGCAAGGTGAAGAATTTAGGACGCTATGTGTGGATTGAAGTCAACTTAAAAGTCTTAGGTAAGAGAAGGTGCTAAAGTAAATATCTGTATCTTAATGAACAGATCTCTGAACAAAACAAAGCAAAAAACCCAAACTAATTGCCATTGAGTCAATTCCAAGTCAAAGCAACCTTACAGGGCAGTGTAGAACTGGCCCTGTGTGTTTATATCCTGTAGCTCTTTACAGGAATAGAAAGTCCTGTCTTTCCCCAGGTCTGTCGGAGGGGTAGCCAAATCCGTCATGTTGGACAAAAACGTTTTGTTCAGTACTTTGTAATAAGCATAGTTCAGTTCCCTGAGAAGGAGTATGTTCTATATTTTTGCCATAATCAAACAAGAAAAAATCATCATGATTTTCTATAATAACCCACCACAAAATTTAAATATCCTCTAATACTTGAATGGTATCTTTAAATCTCTCAGATATGATTGAAACAGCAAAAGCTCCTGAAAAACAAAAACAGTTGTCATTAAGTTGATCTAACTCATGGTAGTAACCCCATGTATGTCAGAGTAGAATTATGAGGGATTTTTGTTTTTACTTTTTACACTGAATTGAGTGATGATGGCCACAATATATCATCAGTTTTGTATTCAATAATTCATATATTTTTGTCTCCTCTCACTCATTGCAATCCCCTCCACGTAACATCATTGATCCTCATCCTTCTCGAGCTGTTTCCATTCCTTCTTTCCCAAACCTTGTGAACTGTGTCCTTTTGAACTCACATGGTTAATTACTCTAAGGTTTATATAAATGTGCTTATCTTACTCGCATTATTGTTCCCTTTATAGGCACAGCATATATCTATAAATTGAGCCACTGTGGGGTGAGTTCAGTTCCAGACTAAAAATTACAATGGACCACAGTTTCAGGGGTTCCACCATCCTCTACCTGACCAGTAAGGTCATCGTCTATGATTCTGAGTTTTGTTCCACATTTTCCTCCCACTCTATCCAGAACCTTTTAATAGGTTCCTTTCAAAGCAGTTGATCGTGATAGCCATTGACCATGTACTCTTCCGGCCTAATGGCTAATGGAGATTGATCTGTGTGGACACTTTGTGTGGTCCATTAGTCACTAAACAAGTTGTTTTCATGTGCCTTTGATTTCCATCTCTTAGTCCTCCTGGACAGGAAGAGACAAAAAGAGACCAATACTTTTCCAGTGGCCATCGAAAAGCTTTTACAATGCCAGTGCCATAATAGGGTGCAGAACATTGTAGTTGTGACCTATGTCATGCCAGATCACCTTCGTGTCCCCAGACTGTAAGCCCCCAGGTGCAGTGAGTCTTTCCTTCAGTGTTGGATTCTGGCTAAGAGTTTTCATAACTTTATCTCTGTATGCACCTCCACATTCATGGATGTATTTGCAGCAAAGGTAAGCTACACATGTACAAATATCTTCGGTCAAACTTAAATACATTTCTGGGTGCCCTCCACTCTCTGTCCACTCCATAAGGCTTCCAGTGACTGATGTTTTGGAATTAGATCAGTAGGCCTGGCTTCTACTAGCTAGACTCAAATCTCCCATATTTAAGTTTGCAACTGAGTATGTTAATCATTTGCTCCAGTCAGCAATTCCAAAAACTACTAAATTCTATTTAATTGCTTTCAAATTAATGAACGTTTGCCCTCATTTTCTTACTTTTTGGCTTTCAAATTTGCTCATTTTGCATCTTTTCATGTGATTCTCCCCTATATCTGTCCTTTTTCATTTCCTGCTTGGCAAGATTTGGCTTTCTGTTCTAGGATCTTTTTTCTCTCTTTGTCCAGTTTGTCTTGTGATAACCACCTTGCTGGGGTGAATGCCCACATAGAGAGTTGTGCTGTTAGCTTTATCTCACTGCACCCACTCAGTGTAGACGACATCTTTCTTCCAATAAACCTGGACCACTTTGCCAATCTGCTGACCTTTGTAGTGTCCTCTCACAACCTGAACTTCATCATCCTTGCGGATGGGCATGGACTGAACACTGTATTTCGGTTTTAGTTCCTTGGAAAGAAGGGGAAGACATAATCTTCTGGTGAATGTGGGACTGTGCATCGAAATGCCTTTTCTTTTGTTCTGGTTTGAAGTCAAAAAGGGATTGAACCTCCCTTTGGCTGCTGTTCCTTCAGCAATGGCCCCCAAAGGGAAAAGCTACCCTAATTTTCTGTTTAGATATCCACACTAAACATTTCTAAAATTTTCACTTAAATAATAATGTCTCTTCTTTGAGAAATACTGAGGGAAACAAATTGAAAACATTGGTAGCAGCTGAAAGTAGATGGATGTCATTTCTGGGGTTATGTGAAGCATGGCTAGGGAGCAAAAGGCTATGATACCCATTCACAAAAACTGCCTATTGGATGGCTGGGTAAGCAACTCAACAGACCATCATTCTTTTTTTTTTTTGAGTCTGATTCCAGAGCCTCTTCAGTCATTGTCCTTCTTTGTGTATGTGTGTGTACCAGTGAAACCATCCAAGCCCAAGTGTGAGTTGGAAGGAGAGCTGACAGAAGGCAGTGACTTGATTTTGCAGTGTAAGTCATCCTCTGGCACACAGCCCATTGTGTATTACTGGCAGCGGATTCGTGAGAAAGAGGGTGAGGATGAACATTTACCTCCCAAATCTAGGACTGGTAAGTCATCTTCTACCAACCTGTTGATCTACCAGAATAGTGCTATACCAATACATTCTACATCTGGTTTTGTTAGCAAGTCACTATGTGGCCTTGAATTTATAAAAGGGCTTCAAAAAGTTCATGGCAAAATTTTATTATTTGCTAATTCCATTTTTCCATGAATTTTGAAAAATCCTTTTATTAAGTGCTCAAAGATATCCTAGCATTCCACAGTTCAATCACATCAAGCAGTAATGTACAATTATTACCATAATCAGATTAAAAACATAATTTTTCTTCTTCAACTCCTTGATATCAACTTCCCTTTATCCCCTCTCTGTGAAAATTTTGAAGTCCCCTCCCTCCTATTGAACTTCTTTGACCCATAAACTGGAATAGAGAATCCTCTTTTTTTTTTTGTAAAATGTTACAGGAGATTAGAAAGAAAAATATCCCAGGGGGACATGAGAGAAGAGGGGACAGGGTGTGGAGAGGGGAACAGGGAGTCAATAAACTCAGTGATAAGGGAACAACAAGAGATCTAAAATTGATGGCAAGGAGGTGAGTGTATAATGCCTGGTGAGGTTTGATCAAGTGCAATGGATCTGAGAGGAATTACTGAGAGCCAGATGGAGGGTGAGTATGATAGTGGGACAGGAGGAAGGTGAAAGGAAATAGAGGAAAGAAGTGGGAATCAAAAACTATTTATAGCGGTATAGCTATAAGCATGTATATATGTAAATATATTAATTTATAATGAAAGGGATAGAGGCCAATACTATTTATATGTTAAGTATTACAATAGCAGATGGACTTTGGGCCTCTACTCAAGGCCTCCCTAAACACAAGAACACTTTGTTCTAATAACCTGGCACTCTTTGATACTCATCTTTCTGACACAATTGCTGAAGACAAAATGGGTGCATAAGTAAATGTGAAGAAAGAGGATGGTGGTGGGCTATCAAAAGATATAGTGTCTGGGGTCTTAAAGGCTTGAAGTTAAATAAGCAGCCATCTAGCAGGGAAGCAAATAAGCCCACATGGATGAAGCACACCAGCCTATGTGATCATGAGGTGTCGATGGGATCAGGTATCAAAAAATCTAAAACAAACAATTATATCCATGGGGAAAAGGAGGGTTGGAGTGGAGACCCAAACATAGCCCATTTGTAGACAATTGGACATCTTCCCACAGAAGGGTTACAAGGAAGGGACGATGCAACCGTGGGGCAGTACAGCACTGATGACTAAACACACATCAACAACATAATTCCTCTAGTTCCTGAATGCTTCTTCCCTCCAACTACCATGACCTTACAAGTACAGTTAAGAGCTCTCAATATATGAAATTCAGGACAGATAAAACCCTCAGGAACAGTAGTGGAAGTAGTGATACCATGAGGGTAGGGGGTTAGTAGGGGGATGGGGGAAAGGAGAAAAATGGAGACCCCATTACAAGGTTAGTTATATAGGCTCCCACCCCCACCCCCCGTTGCCCCCATACCCTAGGGAGACAAATAACAGAAATGAGGGTGAAGAGAGACAATGTACAGTGTAAGACACAAAATAACAATAACAATAATAATATATATATATCAAGGATTCATAAGGCTGGGAGGGGTGGGGAGGGAGGGGGAAAAAAGATGAGCTGACACCAAGATCTCAAGTAGAAAGAAAATATTTTGGAAATGCTGATGGCAACATATTTACAAGTGTGTTTAATACAATTGAATGATGGATTGTTATACATTTGTAAGAGCCCCCCAATAAAATGATTAATTAAAAAGAAAAGAAAAATATACCTACTCCTCAATTATAAACAGTTTCATTATTTGACATTACACAATTACAATTATAAAGGAAAGTTTTTTTTACTGTTTTACTATCATCTTGTCTGTTAATGATATCTGACAGTAGTGAACTTGAGGTATGAAGTGGTGATGGTTAAGACTATGTGGCAAGTTTGAATGGGCCATGATTTTCAGTGGTCTGGCAGTTATAGAATGAGGCAGTCAGGGTAATTTTGTGATCTGATATGGTCATCCTTTATTTTTTCATTAACACTGATTTTCAAATAGTGACCTGGTCTTTGGAACTTAACCATGGTGGAGTGAGTGTACATAAGCAGTTACTTTCAACATATTTTCTAATGTTTGAGGATGCACTATAATATTTTAAGAGATTCCTAAAATAACTTTTTCTTCTCCTTTTATCCATACTAAATTTTAACTAGACTTGGGTTATTGATGCAATAAATAGAGACTCTGCTACAAAGGGATTTATAGTCTTTCTTTCTTCTTTTGTAGACTACAACAACCCTGGCCATGTGCTGCTGCAAAACCTCACCATGTCCTCCTCTGGGCTGTACCAGTGCACAGCAGGCAACGAGGCTGGGAAGGAAAGCTGTGTGGTGCGAGTGACTGTACAGTGTAAGTATCCAAAGACAATGCTGGAAAGGAAGACTTTTGTTTGTCTTTTGCGCTATGATTGTATAGTTCCCCTTTAACCACGAGTAAGGTCACAATCTTTAGTTCAAGGTCAGTGGTTCTCAACCTTCCTAATGCTGTGACCCTTTAATACAGTTCCTCATGTAGCAGTGACCACGCCCCAACCATAAAATTATTTTCTTTTCTTTTTTTAAATCATTTTATTAGGGGCTCATACAACTCTTATCACAATCCATACATACATCAATTGTGTAAAGCACATTTATACATCATTCTCAAAACATTTTCTCTCCACTTAAACCCCCGGCATTAG